TGGCTTTCTGGAAGGAAGGGCCGGGGAGGCAGCTGACGATGGCGTGCATGCCACGGGGGCAGGCATGCTGGCGGGGGGCCGGCGGGGCCACCTGCGTGGGGCAGTGGGCCAGGTGGGGCTCCGTGCCTTGGCACCGCACCTTGTGGACCCAGAAGCTGTTTTTCTGGCTGAGGGTTTTCAGGCTGCCGAGGGAGAGGAGCAGGGGCCAGGATCAGCTCAGGCACTGGAGACTCTCCCCCACCCAACACCCACAATGTGTGCCCACCCCCGGTGCCTCTGCCCACCCTGCCCAGAGTTGAGCTCTACCTGGAGTTGGGGTCCTTCAGCTTCATGTTCCAGAGCTTCCTGTGGGTACACAGAACCAGGAGGTTGGGGGGGCGGGGGGGGAGCATGACAACCCTGCTGGGCTCCGGACCTCCTACCCCATCATCCCTGACTTCCCCAGCACCTTCTGACAGGAGCTGGAGCCATGGGGCCCTCCCACGTCATGGCAGGGTGAGGACAGGTCATCTCCCCACTGGCAATTACGGTGCCAAGCCCGGCTGTGCCGTGTGCCCCGGCGGGACTGCATGACTCCTGGCACTGGCAGGGGCTCATTATGGACTGTATTTATAGCCCCAGCCTAAGACGGGGGTGGAGGGGCCAAAGGCCGCTTGTCTTTACTCTCCTTCCACCCACGCTTTGCCAGCCACAGCAGGTGACTGTCCCCACAGCCTCCTGGCTGCTGCAGAGCCTACCTCTGCCTCTCGTTGAGACTCTAAGAAGGGGACACAGGCATAGCCAGGCCATACCGGCACCCTGTATACCCACCCACCCACCCATATGTGCATCCTTTCCCCAACACACCCCGGTCTTTTGCCCCCACAATGTGTCCAGCCAGGCGCCCTGCCCCACATGCCCCACGGCTGTGATACGGGGGTCCCGCATCCCTACCGGTAGAAGCTGGTGTTGACGTGCTTCTCCCGGGGGAAGCCCAGCATCCCGCAGACCACGCGGCTGTTGTTCCTTGTCCAGCCGGCATCACACACCTGCCTCCAGCGCCCGTTGTGCTTCACCTCCACGGCACCCTCCGTCACCGGCACGCTCAGCTTGGCCCGTGCCAGGATGGGCTTGAGCCGCACCTCCTCCAGGCTCAGCCCCGGCATCTGCCGCGGTGGGCACAGGGGTGGGCTCGGGGGCTCCAGCATCCAGGGCAGGGTGTTCGGGATTGGGACGAGGGGAAGGGTCAGAAGGACCTGCTCCAGTCCCCCTGGTGTACCCTGCTGGGCACAGGGGAACCCCATGGCCCCCCACTCACCTCTCTCAGGTGACCAGAGGTGGTGGCCTGGGGGGGGCTGCCCGGCAGACGCTGTTCTGAGCACACCACGCCGGCATCCTCACTGTGGTGGCAGTCGCTGGTGCCCCAGCCGTTGTGGACGCACTCTGCCAGGGAGCCCTCGCTGCCCCCGCACCGCACGTTGTCCAGCCAGATAGGGCCTGGGGACACACACGCAGGACTGGGGGGGTCACCATTGGGGGGGGGTGTGTGTGTCTCCATCTCCCTCCCCAGCACCATGGGCGCAATCCAGTGCCCCCCCGCAGGCTGCCCGCACCCACAGCCCCCCGGGCAGAGTCCCCCAGACAGTGCTAAGCACACTGCCCTCACCAGCACCCCCAGCCCCCCCATTTCCCACCTGCCCCCTACCTTCCCCTTGGCCGTAGGTGGCACTATGGGTCCAGGTGACAGCCGCGGCGTAGCCCAACTGCCGGCAGGCGACGGTGGCCGCGTGGAAGTCGAAGCCATCATCGCAGACGGTGCCCCAGCGCCCCTGGTACAGCACCTCCAGCCGGCCCTCCCCAGCCGGCCCCCGCGGCCCCACCAGCCGCAGCTGCACTGGGACCGGCTCCTGCTTGCTGGGGGCCACCCAGCACAGCAGCAGAACCAGTGACAGCAGGACGGGGCTCGCGCCGGCTGGCATCACCATCGTGGTTCTGGGGGTGGGATGCCTGGGGACAGCCCGACACTGAGCCCCTGGCAGGGCCCCCAAACAACCCATTGCTGCTGCCCCAAGAGCTAGGCAATGGTGGAGGGATATCATGCCCCCTCGCACGGTGGTGATATCCCTGCCCCTGCACTGGGGGGGGGGACACAGGGCTGGTCCCCACCATGCACAGGTTGCAGAATCCCCCCACTCCGGGGCTCAGCCCCAGCCCCCCACCCACCTGCCCCTCACCTGGGTCACCCAGCCCCAGCACAGCCCTCCCAGGGACCCACAGCCCCACGCTCAGCCCCAGATGGCAACAGCCACAGGCAGCCCCACAAACACTGCCCTGCCCCTGTTGTTCCTGCCTGCCACAAGCTTTGGGTCATGGGTGGGTGCCCCGCAGAGCCTCCCTTTATCCCCCACCCGAACCCTGTGCTGGACATTGGGGTCCCCTCCCCATCCTGCACACAGCCCCTGTCCCCCATCCCCTGCAGCCCCACGCAGAGCACTAGTGGGGTTGCTGCCCGCCCCCCCCCCCCCCCCCCCCCCCCCCCGCCAACACACACACCCCGGGGCTATCCCCGGCACTCACCCTGGCAGTGGTGACAGTGACAGGGCGGGCAGCAGCGTGGGGCGGGCAGCGGCGAGAGGACGCGCCACTGGCTCACACCGACCTCCAGCAGCTCTCCTACTGCCGAGCACCGCCTGCTGCCGCTTTTATGGTGCGGCGGGGTGGGCCGCCCCGGGTGGGGGCCCACGCTCCCCGGCCCGGCCCCGGCCCACCCCCGCAGCGTGCCCGGAACCAAGCCCTGCACCCTTCCCCCCCCCCCCGGCACTCGTCTGACACCCTGGGGCAAACCTGCCCCTGCCCCAACCCCTGCCCTTCCCCCCTCAGCCTGGAGGGGGGTCCAAGCACCCCTGGGATAGTCCCTACCTGCCGTGAGCATTGATCCCCTCGCCCCCAGAGTGAGCCCAATGCCCCAAGTCAGGGATGCTCCACCCCCGACCCCAACATCATCATACCATGGGGCTGGCACCCAGCCAGGCAGAGCATGGGTTTTTTGGGGGAGACAAACTGCCACTCTAGGAACACCCCAAAAGGACACCCCTTGCCCCTTCCCACCCCACACAGCAGTTCAAGCAGGCGTGCAGGCATGGGGTGCCTGGGGATGCTGGACTGGGGCCATGACTTGGAGGGCACAGAGACCAGGGAAGGCTGTGGGGTGGCACTGAGAGCCCAGAGCAGGGTCCCCTCTCAGGGCTCAGGGCATCACCTGGGCCATCACCAGACAAGCTGGCTGCGGGGTTCCCCAGGCACAGTCCCCTCTCTGTGGGACATGGAGATAGGGGATGCCCCCCCAACCTGTCCTGAGAGCAACATCTGGCTTGGGGTGCTGCCAGTTCCCGGGGCACCCCGCTGCCCACCCACCCCTCTGTGCCACGCTATGGGACTGGGATAAACAGGAAGCCCTTTGCCCATGCCGTGGCCAGGGGCCGGCCAGGAATGTGCCCGTGGCCACCGGGCTGTTTGTTTGGAGTTGAAGCAGCTGGTTCCTGCCGGGAGGAGCCAGGATCAACACGGCCGGGAATAGCCCGTGAGCTCATCGCCACGTCCCACGGGAGCCTCCAGCATCCCCAGGCGTGCAGGGGTGCACGGCCCGTGGACCCCCTCACAAGGTACCCTCATCCTAGTCCTATGCCCCATCAGGAGTCAGGGCACACGCTGGAGAATCTCCTGGGGTGGGGGTCCCTGGCCAGCCCCAAGATGGGGGCCATGGAAAGCCCTGGGGATGGGCAGGGCTGGGTACAGCAGTGAAACCCATGACTCATTTGTGTCTCGACGTTTTGGAACTCAGTTACTCAAGTGTTAGGCCAGGAGCGCCCCCCCGACTCCCCCCTGCCCCAAGGCAGATGCTGGCAGGGGTGCAGGGTAGTCGGGTGCTGGGTACTGCTCCCAGCTCTGCCTCTGCTTGTGGGGGCAGCAAGAAGAGGGCAGTGGGGGGGGTCTCCTGCACCTGGGACCTGCCAGCCTCAACCCGCAGCTGTGGGGGCACTGTGTCCCGCTGCTCAGTGTGACCGCAGCAGGCTGGAGATGCCCCCCCTTGTTGTCATCTCCCTCCAGCCCAGCCCTTGGGGCTCACTGGGTGCCAGCATCTGCAACCCCGGGGCAGCCAGCAACTGCAGCAGCTAAAAATACACTGCCGGCAGCAGGGCAGCCCCGTGCGTGGGAAGCTGTGGGCAGCGGGGCAGGCGTGCGGGGCTATTCTCAGAGGGCTGCGGGACTATTCCTGGCCGGTCAATATTGAATCAGCCAGCTCAGGTGCAACAGCTCAGCCTGGCAGCACTGTATTTAGGGCCTGGCGGGAGGCGAGGCAGGCGGCTGAATTGGGAGCATTGTCTGGGGGAGGAAGAGGGCAGGGAGAGGATGTGAGCTCTGTAATCTGCAGCGAGCAGCTCCCGGCAGCAGCCCGGGAAAGGGGCACACCCCAGGCCTGCCACCGGCTGATGAGTGGCCAGTGAGAGCCGCTGGCTTGCATGGAGCATCTTCCCTGGGGATGGAGGGATGGGGCCCGAGCACGTGCAGGCAGCTCCTGGTAGGAATGGGTGTGTGTATCGGGGGGGGGCAGCTGCCAGTCCTGGCTCCTGCAGATTCTGAGCTGCTGGGTGTGTGGCTGCTGTACCCACAGCCACTGAGGGCCAGGGGAACAGAGGACAGTTGGGGGCTTCAGGTAGCAAAGCAGGTGTCAAGCAGCTCCCTGGTTCTCTGCTTGTTCTAGGCACCTTGGGGTAGTCCAGGGTAGCCTGGGGCTGGGTGGCTCCAGCCAAATAGTCCTGGCATGCACCTGAGCCTACATTACTGAGTGGAGGAGAGGTTTGGGGGGCTGGTTGTCCCCATTCACTGCTCTGGGACATGCTTGTCCCCTCTGACAGTTCTCTCAGGGCTCCATCGCCAGCCCCAGTGCAAGATGGCACAGTGTAGCCCCCCCCACTGGCATGTTGGGAGCTGCATGAAGAGCTGAAAAAACACAGTGAGAATTCTCAAGACAGAGCCTGGGCCAGGGTTTATTTCCACAGGCGCAGGCAGGGGCTGAGTGAGACGACTTGCCACGGGCACCTGATGCAAGGCTGGGCTGTGGCTGTGGCAGCCTGAGAGCAGCCACGTGTTTGAGGTGACGGTAGCAGCTGGGAGCACAAGGGACCCTTCCAGCCTGCACCCCCCAGCTCTCAGGGGATGCTGCTGCCCTGCAGTGCCTGGGAAGCGAGTTGGGGAAGGGCAGGGCTTTGCACGGGGTCAACACGGCCTGCTGCAGCCACAACTCTGCATAGGTGAAGTCAGTCACCACTGCCATCACAGGCGCCTGAAGTCCTCGAGGGCCACCTGGGCGGCATTGCGTCCCGCTGCTCCCATCACTCCTCCCCCTGCAAGAGAGCAGAAATAGGGAGTGGTGGGCAGCTCCTGCCCCAGGAGATGGGGCCCAGGGCTGCACCAGCAGCGCTGGCCCATCTCTCTGCTCGTGCAAGGGCAGAGAGGGGAGTGGACACCCCCCCACACACACTCTGTGCCCTTATGCCTCTTCCACACATCCCTGCCCTCCTTCTGCAGCCCCCTAGGAGGGTCCTAGCTCCCAACCCTGCTCACCAGGGTGGGCTCCACTTCCACACAGGTACAAGCCAGAAATTGGGGACCGGTAGCCTGAGTAGGATGGTGCCGGCCGGGCAAAGTACAGCTGGTCCAGAGACATCCCTCCATGGAAGATGTTCTGCAAGCAGAGCTCTGTGTGAGCTGACTGTATGTGGCCCAGGGCTGCGTGCCCACCAGTGCTGGCACCGGAGTGATGCTCATAGCTGAACCCACATGGTACCCACCCCACCGGGCAGCCCGAAGATCCTCTCCAGGTCTGGTGGTGTCAGGATGTCCCTGCCAATGACGGATGCCTTGAACCCCGGGGCATAGGCTTCGATGCAGTCAAACACTAGAGAGGGATGGAGGGACTGGTGGGCAGCTTTGGGGGGACGTGGTGACCAGCCCCTAAGCAGCTCTGCCCACAGACAGGGACCAGTGCTCCCAGTGTTACCTGGCTCTGTGTAAGCATTACGTACCCGTGTCCGCGTATGCATTTCTGGCCTGCTCGTCCCAGGGCCGCCCACCCACCAGCACAGAGGGGGTGTATTGGGTGAAGAGGGACACGACGTGGCAGCCCTGTGGGGCCAGTCCTGGGTCCAGTGCCGAGGGGATACAGAGCTCAATCATGGGCCTGGGGGAGCAGGACACCAACCGGGCAGGCAGAGGGAGACCCAGCCACCCCAAAACTCTTCCCCCAGCAGCACCCACCATTGCTGTCCTGCCCCTTGCTCAGGGCACCAAGATTTGCCGGTGCACGCTCCTACCTGCTGGAGGGGTGCCCGTGGGTGGCCTCAGTGAAGGCCTGGTGCAGGAGGTGGGTGCTCTCGCAGTTGAGATGGATGGAGCACTGGTGGTGGGGCAGGGGTTGGCCGTCGTGGGCATTGGGGGCGGCCAGGAAGCTGGGCAGCCGATCCACCGCCACTGGACGTGGGAGGGAGGGAGAGAGGGAGTGGTGTGCAGCCTCTTGCAGTGGAGGTGGTCCTGCTGCTACCTACCGTTGATCTTGGTGACGGGGGAGCGTGTGTCAATCTGCCGGATCCGCTGGACAAAATCCTCTGGCAGCTGCTCCTGGGGTGCGAGATGCCAGTGTAGAGGCTCGAGATGCCAGTGTAGAGGCTGGCTGTGAGGGTCAGTGCAGCTGGGGGGGACACCACCACGCCAAGCCCCCACCATCCCCGTATGCCCCATACCTGGGGGATGAGCTCCAGGAAGGTGATTTGGGGGGAGGCGTTGGACAGCACCAGTTTGCTCCTCACCTCTGTCCCATCCTGCAGCGCGATCCCCTGCGCCCGCCCATCCCTGCCCAGCAGCACATGGCACACTGCCTGGGCACGGGGAGGGACGGGACTTCACCAAGAGCATCCCTGCTGCCTGCAGGCCAGCCAGACAGCTCCCCGTGCCCTGACACCCCATACCTTCTCAGCAAAGATGTGGGCTCCCCGGGAAGCCGCTGCATTGGCAAGGGCTTGGGACAGGGCCCCCATCCCTCCAGCCACGTAGCCCCAGGCCCCTCGTCGTCCCTCCAGCTCGCCCATCACATGGTGCAACAGCACATACCTGTGGTGTCAGGACCCATGTTAGCTGCACACCGAGGGGACAGGTCTGTCCCCTGCATGAGCCATAGTGAAGATGGTGTCATGACACCCAAAAGTGGGACCGTGCCAGCTTGTAGGATGCCAACTCTGTTACAGGGAGCACCCACCAGCCAGGGCTTGAACTGACCTTGGGACAGAGGTGTCCAAACAGCAAAAGGGAAGGTGGGGACCACTCAGGACAGCCATATGGCAGGGATGGGGGGCAGCCCCTTGCCCAGCCTCAACTCCTGAGTCACCCTGGCAAGGCTGAGTGGGCAGCAGGAGGGAGAGGCGGCGGGGCAGGGCATGGGGTACCAGGATTCAGCAGAGCTGAGGAGCTGCTGGCACAGAGGATGGTGTTGGGGGATGGTGCAGCCACCAGCCCCGGGGAAAGGGATCCTCACCCACTGCCAGGGGTGTGGGGGCTGGCCATGGCTCCAATCACCGCGTCAGTAGCCAGAGTCGCCTTCAGGGGCTCCGACTCAAACCACTGATCCAGGATCTGGCCCAGGAGAAAAAGAGAGCACCAGGCTCGGGGTGGGGGGGCTGCCGCAACACCATCACAGGCAAGCAACAAGGCAGCTGGTGGCTCCACACCGCTGCTACTGGCAGCACTCACCTTGGAGATGGGGGCTGTGAGCACCTCGTAATAGCGGGGCAGCTGCCGCCCCAGCGCCAGCCCTGAGGGTGGAGAGGTGGTGTGAGACCTGCGTGGCTGTGCCGGGGCCAGCTGCCTGTGCCCGGCTGGGTTTGGTGGTCAGGCAGTGGGATCAAGGTGAGCAAGCCTGCCAGAGCCTGCCAGCCCAGCTGGGGCTCCTGAGGAGAGCTGCATCACCCATCCCAGGTGCAAGCAAACACCCACTGCCATTGGGGTCCCCCGGCATCCCAGACATACCTGCCCGCAGCAGGGGCCGCAGAGCTTGCAGGGCCCTGAGCTGCTGGAGCAGGGACCCCTGCCCCAGGGCAGCTGTATTCACCGGGGGGGCATCCAGCAGCGGGTCAAGGGCTGAGACCAAGCGCCCCATGAACGCCTCATACTCAGGGTAAACCTGAAAGGGGACAGTGTGGGGACAACAGGGACTGTGCCATGGTGGGTGCAATGGATACCTCAGCCAGGAGCATCCCTGCAGCTCCATGGGCAGGGTAGCCCCTCGGGGGCCTTGTTGAGCTGGGTGCATGCCCCCCGTGGTACCTGGGCATCCTTCTGGGAGAACTGAGCAATCTGCCGCTGGGTCTGAGCCATATCATGCCCCAGCAGGAGGGAGCGGGGGGGGCTCCTGTCTTCCAGCAGTGGGGTGAAGGAGTAGGGGTCCCGCGGGAGCACCCTCAAGCCATGCTGCTGCAAGACAGGGATGGCAGGACCCAGTCTGTGGGGACAGCCTGGCAGCGGGAACATCCTACCAGTATGCCCGGAGGTGCCAGCAGCCTGGCAAGGGATTGGTGTCAGTACCTGCAGCTCCAGCTCCGCGTAGATCTGCGGCCTCAGCAGGCTGAGCAGGTAGGATGCCCGGGAGAACTTGAAGCCTGGAAGACATGGGGTGGTGTGGGGTGCCCGTACCCAGGGCTGGCTGGAGGCAGGGGGACAGGAGGTGTGCAGGAGTACCTGGCACGATCTCCTCAGTGACGGCCGCGCCGCCCAGCACGTGGCGTTTCTCCAGCACGGCCGTGCGCAGCCCTGCTCGCTGCAGGTAGGCAGCCTGGGGGGAGCATGGCATCATACTGCCTGTCCCTCCAGGTGGGACATGTCCTTGTCGCCCCAAGCAACCTCTTGCACATGGTGTCCCCCTCACCAGGGAAGGTCCCGCTCCCCACAGCCCCGTGGGAGCCTCGAGCCCCACGGGGACTGCACCAACACCCTCCCTTTGCACAGCACAGACCCTCCCCAGTCCCCCAGGGATGGAGGAGAGCCAGCACCCAGCTCTCGGTACTCACTGCCACCAGCCCGTTGTGCCCTGCAAGGAGAGAGGGAGGTGAGCTGAGCCCGGCATCAGGGCAGTCCCATGGCACAGGGCACCCTGCCATGCCTGACACACAGGGCTGCCACAACCACCCAAATAACGGGGTTCTGGACATGGGGATACAGGTGACAGGGAGCATTCTCCCCTGGCCCTAACAGTGCAGGGGAGGGAGACAGAGATGCTCAAGGCAGATTTCCAGCTGCGCCCTGCACACTGCAGGGGTTGCAATTTCTGCCTGGCCATGCCAGTCCCCTGTATTCTCCCTGGCACAACAAGCACGCTGGGGTCCCCGATGGCTCCCCGCAGCCCGGCACTGGCTCCCTCGCCCCCTGTTACCTGCCCCGATCACCACGGCGTCGTACTCCCGCTGCAGCCGGTCTGCAGCCCCAGCATGGGCCAGCCGCAGGGACAGACGCCAGCCCTGCAGCCAGCGGGGAAGGCAGCCAGCGCCCAGTCTTGTCCGGAGCCCAGTTGCCATCGCCCCGCAGTGCCCAGCCATGGCTGCCCTGCGCCCGGCAGCCTGGACTTTGCTTTCACGGCGGAACTTTTCCCAGGGCTTCCGGGCACGGGGAGGAGTTGGTGGGGGGCCAGAGTAGGGGATGCCTTGGCGCAGGGCTGGATGCTGCATGCCAGGGCTTGCGGGGAGGCTGGGCAGGACAGGGGCACGCACCCAGCACTGCCCCACCGGTGCTGCCCACAGCAAGGCATTGACCCTGGCAGAGCTTTGCTGGGGGCTTGCAGGGGAGCTGGAGACCTGGCTCAGTGCTGAGAAGACAACAGGGCTGCATTCTGCCTGGTGCTCAGCAGGGTGGCACGTGCCACCCCAGCCTGTACGCCAGGAAGCTGCTGGGCAGGCAGGTAGGGGCCCAAGAGCCCCCCAGCCCCTGTTGTGCTCCAGGGAGAACCCAGTGGGATGTGGCTGGGGTGATGGACCAACAAGGACTGTAGGACAGGGGGTGCTTGGCCCCACCTTGCGTAGGCAGGCCCCAAGCACAGTCCTGAGAGCAGTGGGAAAAGGGGCAGCCTTGGGGGTTATCTTGGCCTTGAACCCAGTGCTGTTGCTCTGCAGGGCAAATTCCTGCCCAGCAGGACGGGGCAAAGGCCCTACCATGGTCCAGTGCTCCCTGAACTGCCATTCCCAGCCCCAGTGAGCAGCATAGAGTGACAAGGGGCCGCGACTGCCAGAGTCCTTTGGGACTGGTCCCATCCCCAGCTGTGCCTGGGGGGTTTGCACGTTCACTGAGCCCAAATGTGCTTGGGAAACACATAAGCTGCCTCGGCTTTACCCACTGTTCACAGCTGAGCTTGGCCCACAGCTGACTGGTGCCCAGGAGTCCAGGTACAGGGAAGGGGCTGTAGGACACGCCGCACCTCCCCAGAGCCTGCCAAGCACCTGAGAGCCCCACACCCCACATTTAGAGTCTAGGGGGAAGGGGGATGCACCCTGGGCCGTTCCTCCACACAGGCTTGGCTACTCCATTTTGTTCTCTGGCCAAAGCCTGGCGGTGATTCGAAGCCAATGCTATAAATCCTGCTTTGGAAACACGCTTTTCAGCAAGATGGTGATTTGCCAACAACCTCTCAGCCCTACTCTCTGCACGTCCCTGGAGGCTGCTGGGTGCCAGCAAAGCCCACAGGGAGTGGGGAGGCAGGCAGCGCCAGCCCAAGCTGGGCTGCAGGGTGGGAAGGCTGCCCATGGCTGCCTGCAGGCACAGCCAACGGCACACAGACACCGAGAAAGCAGCCCAGGCGCCAGGAACACCCACACACCCGCTTTAATCCTGGCCCTGAGGTGGTTGGAGGCAGCTCAGAGCAGGGGGATGCGGGAGGGCTCCCAGAGCCGCCGGGCCAAGTCGCAGGCCTGTTGGACCATGAGCTCAGAGGGGATGATGCCCAGGTGCACGGTCAGCAGCTCGTAGCACTTCACTACCTCTGCCTGGTGGTTCTTGCTGTAGTAACGCAGCAGCTTCCTGGGAAGGAGAAAACAGGGGGCCTGGCAGGCACAAGACAGACTGATACCCCTTTTTCAAACCACTCTCCGCCCCCCCCCAAAAGTCACTGTCAAAAGACACAGTGCCCATCCACTGGCGGGATCGCAGCACCAGGGTGGGGAGATGGGCTGGTGCAAACCCTGGTGACACCGCAGCACTGGTACCACACTGCAGCAACATCCTGGCGAGGACAGCATCACTCACAGGGACACCTGTGCCAGCACAGGCCTGGGCCCTGGTGCCAAACCGCAGGGCTGGGGACTGCTCACCTGTAATAGTCTCCTGCCAGCATCCCAATGGGAGCAGAATCATCAGAGAGAACCGGTACCTCCATCACCTCCAGCTTGTAGCCCTGGGGAGAGATGACAGCAGAGGGGAGGAGCAGGGAAGGGACCACCGAGGAGCCGGAACCAGCTGTGCCTACAGCCCTGCTCCCCACTTCCAGAAGGTGCTAGGGGAGAGGGGTTCAGCCCCTCCTGGCCCCACGTACCAGCTCGTTCTCAAACCAGAGGAAGTAGGAGCAGCAGTAGTCACCATCCTGCAGCATGAGCGTTGTGTAGCCCTTCTGTAGGTATCGCCGGGCCAACGCGATCAGGGACCAGACCTGGGGGGACAAGGGGCACCTGAAGTCTGAGCAGAAAAACCTCCAACCATCACCCCCTCCTATGGTCCCCACTGCACACCTAGCTCCACGAGCAGTACCTTTCTCTTGATGAAGGTGGCCAGGGGGCCCTTGCCCAGCTCTGAGCTGGACTTCTCTGTCACGCTGAGTGAAGGTGCCATCATCTGCCCAGCCGTGCGATCCACGTAGATGAAGTGCACCAGGCCAGGAAAGTCCTCCAGGTACGTGGGGTGGGTTAAGGGTATCCAACAACCCTGATGCCCTTCCAGGACAGCCCCTGAGCCTTGGGGAAACTGCCTTTGCCCACCACACTCCTCCCCTTGGGCCTGGTGCTGGGGGGACAGGGTCCCACTCCCACCTCTGCTACCCCCTTAGGGACCCCTCCTCACTGGGATGGGTTCCCAGCTGCAGGGACGGGTATGACACCATGGTGATATTGCGCCTGCTCTTCACCAGCAGGAAGTCCCGCCAGTCCAGTAACTTCTCCCTGCCAAGAAGAGTCACGGTGAGAGGCTGGGACCCCTCAAGCCCCCCCACAGCGGGGTGTGGAGCAGCCCCCCAGGGATGCCGGCCACCCCCATGCACTCACCTCATCAGCTTTTGGGCACGGTCCCGCAGCCCCTGGGACAGGCTGTGGCCGGTGGAAGTCAGGAAGAGCTGGCGGTACACGGAGCAGAGCTGCCGCTTCACGTTGGCCACTGCCTGCAGCAGCCTGAGCCGGGAGACACAGACAGTGCCAAGTTTGGCTCCTGGGTCCCCAGCACCGCAGAGACAGCTGTGCCACCCCTTGGGTTGGGAAAGGTCCCCCCCTGCCCCAGAGACTTTCCCTGGCCACCCCATACTCACTCCAGGGAGTTCCCAGGCTCGCTCCGGGAAAATATCTTGTTCTTGAAGTCCACCCAGGTGTTCTGCAACTAGAGAGAAACAGTGTCAGGCTGTGGGGACAGCAGGACAGGGTCCTCGTGTCCCCATTCCCACCTGGATGTCCTGCCCACTCAGCTTCTTCACGAACTTGTCCATGCGCTGTCGCAGCTCGGCCATGAATGGGTAAGAACGTGGAGCTCCCACCTCCGGCCCCTCTTCCAGTTTCCTCTCCAGCAACAAAAAACCATCCAGCAGTTGGTACAGGGTGACGGCCACCGGGGTTGTGGGGCCCTGATGGGGAGGGGAGAGGTGTATCAGCCAGGACCCAGCCCAGCATCACTTCCCTCACCTTAGAGGCAGCTCACCTTGGTCAGGAGGACAAGGGAGATGCCCGGCCAGAGCGGGAGGCAGTACATGGTGTGTGGCAGCAAGGGGCAGTAACCTTCCCGCAGGTTGGCGTCCAAAAAGATCCTTCTGGGGTTTGAAGCTTCAGGAACGAGAGGCCCCAAGGTCTGGAGCAAGTCCTCTGCCATCTGGGGAGGGAGGGGAGATGCTCAGCCCCCCACGGGGATGAGACAGCCCACACCAACCCAGGACGCTCTGGAGGGACACAGCAATGCCCTGAAAGCTGCAACCAGGCACGACTGAACTGAGGGAGCTGGAAGGGCCACGTGGCCAAAGGTCAGCAGTGAGGGAAGTGCCCAGGGACCCCAAATGAGCAGCAGGTAAAGGGGAAGCTGCTTGCAAAGACACAGGTTGCAAACGCCTTCTGCCAAGGCTAGCACTTGCTTGCAGGGAGTGTGTGAGGCTCTGCAGCATCTGTCAGGGAAGCAGCCCAGAAAGCCCAGAGGCAGCAGAGGGAGACACCAGACTGCTCTGAGACAGCCCCAGCCCCTCTGTGCTGACAGCTCTGGACAGGGAGACCATAAGCAATGCCTCAGAGAGGGAGGTCAGAGCTGTCACAGTTATGCACAACATGGGGGATGCAGGGCACACCCCCAGCTCTAGAGCCTGGCTCTAGACCCACAGCTGCAGCACAGCAAGGAACAAGTGACAAGGACTGGAGACCACAAAGAGCACCAGGACAGGATGAGATGTAGAACCACGAGGGACTGCAGGAACCCTTGCTCACCTGGACATCTGCAGCGTCTGCCTCCTCGGTGCTCAGCATCTCAGCGCCCTCCAACCAGCTCTCACTGCCTGTGGGGAGCACGGTGGGTTACCGTCCCCCCCAGCTCTCCACGCAGCTCTGGAGCCTCCACAGGGCTGGAGGGGTGTGGGGCAGGGCTGCTGCCCAGCTGGACACTCACCTGTGCTGTGCCTGCCCGGAGAGGGCTCGGGAGTATAGTAAACCTCAGGTACGGAGAGATCATCTGTGTCCTGCCGGTGAGAAGGGCTGGGTCAGCAATGGGAGTGATGCAGGCAGCCCAGCCAGCATCCCCACCCCGGAGCTCCCGATCCCAGGGACTCACCTGATCATCTGAGTCCTTCTCCGCAGCCCTGTAGGAGCCAGGGCTGTTCACTGGGATGCTCTCGCTTCTCTTGGGTCCCTGGGGGAGCACATTCCCTGCCGTGGACTTCCAAAAAGAGGGAAAAAAAGTTAAGCCCTGGCCACCAAGGCATCACCCTCACAGGGGCACCCCAACTCACTCCCCCCCTCCCCGCCCGGCTCTGGAGCACCTGGGGGCTGAGCTCCTCCTCGGCGCTCTGGCTGGGGTACAGGTCCTGCACCAGGAGGATGAGGACAAGCAGGTCGGCAGGACGGATGGAGCTGGCGTTGCGGCTGCGGGCCAGAGAAGGGAAGTGTCAGCCAGGAGGGTGAGTGGCTGCCCTGGGGAGGGTGGCAGGGCCGGGGCTGGGCACACCTGGAGTAGAAGGCCAGCAGCTTGGTGTGCACCAGGAGGAAGGCATGGCCCACCTCGTCCCCACCACGCTCGGGGCTGGTGTTGATGTACTGCACTACCTGCCCCTCCAGGAACTCGATGCACTGCTCGCACAGCTGAGGGTGGATCAGCCGCTCCACGGCCTGCGGTGCAGGGAGGGGGGAAGGCTCCTGAGAACCCCCCCCAGACCCAGCCACGCAGCCCCGGGGGGCAGGTCTGAGCTTCCACTGCTCCAGGGAGCTGCCCCAAAGTCCCGGCCCAGTCTTTCCCCACATCCCGGCACTCCACGCAGGTTCACATCCCTGGGACACCCCAAAGGTGAGGGACACCCCAGGGCACATTACCTCCACCGCAAAGCTCTGGTCCTCCTCCCGCAGGCGGCTGTAGGTCTCCAGCAGGCCCCGCAGCAGGCTCCAGACACGCTCCCGCTGCTCCGAATCGGCTGGCCGCAACCTGCAACGGCCGCAGAGCGTGAGCTGAGAGCCAGCCGTGCCCCCCCCCCAGGTGGGATGGGCACCCCGAAACCCATCTGCAGCCCAGCAGGCAGTGGGTCCTGCTGCATGGGGTGGGGTGTGGGGTGTGGCAGTTTGCAAACACCCACTCCCAACCCCCCGGGGCTGCACGACCGGACTGCTCGGCAGCTGCCCGGGCATCCCGGCGTGCCAGCCCACTCGGGCCGGCCGTGCCCGCTCACTCCTTGCGGATGAGGTGGGAGTCGAGCGTGACGAGGCCACAGTGAGCCTCCACCAAGCGCCGCAGCACGAAGAGTGTCCGACGCAGGTCGTCCTCGCTCTCCGTCCCGTCGCCGTTCACTGCGATGTACAGGCAGTCCCCGAACTGCAACCGGCAGCGGGGTCAGGAGGGGGACGGCCGGGGCTCCCCGGTGCCGGTGCCGGTGCCGGCCCTACCATGTGCAGAACGTGGAGGTGCCGCCCACGCTCGGTCGCGAAGCAGGTGTAGGTGTCGGCGAGCTTCTCCAGCAGCGCCGCGCAGGAGATGATGAGGGGGGCGAAGAGGGTGTTGAGGCTGTCCTCCAGCGCCGGGCCCTGGGGCACACGCTCCGGGGTCAGCGCCCACGCGCGACCGCGCACCACTCCTCCCACGCCCCGTCCCGTCCCGCCCCACCTGCCCGGCGTGGGGCGGCCGCAGCCGGCGGAGGAAGGCGGCATCGGCCCAGTAGAAGAGCAGCTCGGCCGCGGTGCTGGCGATCAGCACGCAGCGCATGGCGCGGCGCGGCCCGGCCCACGGCGGGGGGCACCGGGACCGCGCGGCTCCGCCCGTCCGCCGCACGCCGCTTCCTGCTCCGCCGCGCGTGACCGCCGCGCCCACGCCCGCGCGCGCAGCGCCCCCGGCGGCCCGGCGCGGCCCTGCACCGTGGGCCCTGCCCCCCCCCCGCGCCCCGCCCCGCCCCGCCCCCGCCCTCTGCCCCGGCCCCGTCCCCAGCCCGGCCCCGGCCCCGCCCCGGCCCCGCCCCCGGCCCCGGCCCCCGCCCCGCCCCGGCCCCGGCCCGCGGCGGACAGAAGACGCCGGCGCGGTTGACAGCCCAACTTTATTACACCTCCGGCGGCGCCCCGGCGCGTCCCGGCTGCTCCTGCCCCCTCTCCCGGGCAGGACACACTCACGGCCACGGCGGCCGCCCGTGGCGGGGCCGGGGCTGCCCGCTGGCCCGGCCGCCCGCCCCTCCGCTCCGGACCGTATAATTTAATTACCGACATTTCCATCCGCGGACCCGCGAGCCCCGCCCGGGGCGGACCCCGGCGCCCCTTCTCCCGGCCCGCCCTGCCCGCAGCATCCCCCGCCGGTCCCGGCCGGGCTGGCGGCAGCAGAGGGAGCTGCTTCCATGCGCTTGCTGCACCGGCAGCGCTGCCCACCGCCCGGGAAGGCGCAAAGGGGGGACCCGGCTGCTAGAGGGGTCACCCTGAGGGCCAGCGGGATTGGGGGGGCCGGGGAGGGCGCCCACCCCGGGCTATACCCCAGCCCTCCCCAGCAGCCGGTGGGCACCAGCCCCCGGGTGCTTCTCGCAGCTTGCGGGACGGGTGGCGGCAGGCCCTGCAAATTCGCCGTTGCACCGCTCCGGTGGGATCGCGGCCAGGGCCAAGCAGAGCTCTGCAGCCACAGGACGGGAAAGAGGGTGCCAAGCTGGAAGACATCCAGGGTGCGAGGACGAGGGCACGGCACAGCACCCACCCAACGTGGCCCTGCTGTGATGCTGTGGGGGGCTGCCGAGGCAGCGTGTCCTGGGGAGTGCGCGGGGGCAGGAGCGGGGCCGGCAGGTCCGTTCTGGGCCGTGGGCTATCGGTACCGGCAGGCCAGCGCGTTCACGTTCTTCACCACGTAGAAGCTCATGGTCAGTGGGGGGATGACCAGGGTGCGGCCAGCCCGCAGCGGACGAGGCTTTAGCTCAGGGAGGGTCCCGTCATCCACCATGGCCAGCGGCTGCCCATTGAGCTGGACCGACCTATGGGACCAAGAGAGGGTCAGGGTGGTGGCATCAAGGACGGGGTGGCAGTGGCAGCCCCAGCCATCAGCATCACACTTACTTGGAGTGGAGCCCATCCTTGCCGTAGGGCTGCAGCAGGTACTGGTGGACGATCTTATCCCGCAGCGTCCCCGCCAGCTTGATTTTCTTCCGGGAGCGATGTAGGTTGATGATGTAAAGGGTGATGGACCCCCGGACGTAGTTGTGGCTGCAAAGGGGAGAGCAGGAGCTGAAGATCATGTTGGCACATGCCCCAGAAGCATCGCCTCCAAGAAGTGGTTTGGGGTTCTCTGCAAGAACTGGCCTTGCGCAGCCACCCAGAGGGGACATCACCGTCCCAGCTGCCCCTCCACAGGCAGATGCCACTTCCCCATCACAAAGTGTGGCTCTGTGATGACACCTTTCTGACCTCCTCCTCCCCTCCTCAGCCAGGGGTAGCATGGCTCGAGCGGGTGGTGTGTTGGTGTCTGGAGCCGGGGGGGTGGCAGTCCTGAGGCAGCCCCCCCAGGGCCTTGCAAGGAGGAGGCTGAGAACGGAGGGGAGCTCTGTGAGCAAGTGGCGTCTGCCCCCACCGCCCCGGGCACCTAACTGACAGGTCCAGACACTGATCCTCTGTCCCTTCCTAATCAAGCAGCCCCAAACAAAGGCTATAAAGCACTTTGCACCTGTCAGTTCCTGGACAAGGTTTCCTACCAAGCTGGAGGCATGTTGAAAGCATCTGGACTGTGTAAAGAAACAGACTCTCCTCCTCCACAATAGCAACTTGTGTCTGCGGAGGAGGTGGTCACACACACACACACACCCCCCCCGGCTGCTGGGGCGCTTTCAAAGACCTTATCAGCAAAACAATAACCAGGCCGGGCTCCCCGGCAGCACAGCCTGGCGAGTAACCCGACCGACCGGGGGCCCCTCGTGTGAAATCCACTCCCTTGATCTCTGCTGCCGGGGCTGCCCGGTGGCCACCTCCCTGGCCCCGGCCGGCCCCGTTCCCAGGAGCGGACTTACCACAACTTTCATCGGAGGCATCACTGTTCTCTGCAGCTAGAGCAGCGCCCAAGTGAGTATCCTGGGAAGCCATGCCTTGCTGGAGCCAAACCCTGGGCTCCTGCCTCAGCATGTCCTCAGTGGTCCCCATCTCCTGGGGGTCCCGCTTATCCCCCCACCTGCAGCTCCCAGCCTCACCTCGCTCCACTTACTTGTGATAGCTGGTGCAGTGGGCATAAATGCGGAGCTTGTCGCGAATGACCCTGCCGGGCCGGGGTTTCCTCTGGAGCCCGGCCACGTGGATTGCCAGGACCTTGGGACCGATGAGACGCTTGTAGAGCAGGGACAGCCAGTAGTCCTGGGGGGTAGAGGGGACAGTCAGCAGCACAACAGTCCCCCCGACTCACAGCGGGAGTGGGCAGGAGAGGCTGGCTTCTCTGCTGACAGCCTAGCAAACGTTTGGCTGTTGGGGTGAAAATGTGTGCCAGATGTCTGCCTTGGGGTGAGCTTTTTTTTGTGCAGTCCAAGCCAAAATGACATCGCTGTTTCCAGGAAAGAGATTAAAGGAGGAATAGATTGCTCGGCCCATGCTGAGAGACACCGATACCCTCTAAAGGAGGTCAGCTTTTGGCTGGGCTGCGGAGCATGGGGAGTGGCATGGATGCCCTCACACATTCTCACAGACCTGCACATGCTGTGGACCTGTGCACCAGCTCCAGCTGATGCATGTGGGATGGTGACATCTCAAGCAGGCAGGTCAGTCTCTACCCCACTATCTATAGGGGGCTGGAGCACACCAGGGCTCTCCAGCTCTGTTCATGGCACTCTGGCTTTGGTGACTGCTGAAGGCGCTCCACTTCCCAGAGGTATTTCCCCTGACTTAAAAGCCTCCTGTGGAGTTAAGCACCCATGAATATAGCATGGGGAAGCCAAGCACTCAAGAAATAGGAAATGTTCAGCCCCTGCACACATGCATTAATGATGTAGCCTTTAATTACGTCACCACATACTACTTTTTCCCGTAGGGCATGGCCTCGCTCGGCACACAGGATGGGCCCCAAGCCCCAGGGAGGGAGGTGAGGCTGTGCGGTGACGGAGGCTGCTGCCGGCAGGGCCCCCCACTCATCCGCTGCAGAAGCTGGGAGGTGTGCGGTAAATGAAGCAGGGTTGTGGGAAGGGAAAGGGCAGGCTCAGGCGCTTGCCTGTTGTTCTGCAGGACGGGGCTCTGGCCCTGCTGCTGCTCTGGGCACCCCGGGTGATGCCGAGGCAGCAGACCCTTTCACTCTACTTTTCTGGGTGCTGCCTGTGCGTGTGCTGGGCACCGCCTGGGTGCTGCAGCACCTTCGCACACATAAGCACTCTGGGTAAACCCCCTCTGCGCAATCCAGGCTGGCTGCCCTCGAGAGACCACGTGCCCCGATGCAATTGGGATGATCCCCCATCCCAGTTGGCAGTGCTGAACTCCCAGCAGCAATGGTCATGCTGGCACCAGGGACTGCTCTGCCCGGCAGCGTCTGACCTGCACAGTGAGGAGGGCTGCTGGTGTGGAGAGGAGCACGGATCAAGCACCCCACGGCTCTGCACGCTGCCCAGGGAGGCATGAGGGAAGCCCTGGGTGGTCAGGCTAGTGCCAAGAAGCGGTCTGCCACCCCAGAGGGGCATGTGGGGGGGAAAACAGGGTCTCCAGGGCTATATGGGCTGGATGTGCAGGTGGAAGTGCAGACCCCTCATACAGGGATCCATTCCATGGGTGGAAAGCCCTCACGCAGCCCTTCATTAACAGGCATTTTGGATGAAGAGGCCAGCAGATGAAACAGAGCAGTGCTGCAGCAACAACTGGCACGAGGAGAACGCCCACTGGCCAGACTGGACTGTTGGCCCCATCCTACCTCCAGCCCAGCTCCGCAGAAGCTGACCTGTTGCAGCAGCGCTGGGCTGGCCTAGCAAAGGGAGATCCAAACCCACTTCCCACTTTCTGGGTAAGCTTTTGCCACAGTGCTGGAGGAAAAGCCGCCTCCTGCTCTGCTTTCGCTGCTCCCAGCCAAAACCACGGGGCTTTGTGCCACACCAGCCTGGTAACTGCTTTCCCTGCAAACCCCGGGGCCCTGGAGCAGATGCGAGGGTGAAGGGAGAGGCTTGCACACTCCGAGGAGGCTCAGCCCACGAGGCTGAAGACCCCGGGGAGGATGAGCTGCAGTTGCTCAATACTGCAGATGTGTGCCGTCCCCGAGGTGCGTGTCACCGTCCCTGTCCCTGCGGCTGGCGGTGCTGCCCGGCACCCTGGGGACATCCCTGCCTGCACCATTCTGCAGGGGCTGTACCAGACTTCACTCTGGCCGTGGGAAGCCTTGACAGCCCACCCCGCTCCAGCTCACGGCAGGTGGGAGAAGCTGTGACCGGCACACTGCCGGCTCCCCAGTGAGCCATGCCAATTAGCAGGCATCATTAGATGAGTAATTACTTGAGTTTACAGCGAGGCCAAAGGTGAGCACAGATTGCAGTGTTTAGCCCCATGGTCATGAGTTAAAAATAAATGAGTTCAGTGCCCGAAGCTACCTGTCAGCTCAGGCTCTTAGGTCTTTCTAGCAGCCGCCTTGGGGTTTCTCGCCTCCTCCCCACATTTCCACTGACGAGCTGCTGCTTTTGCCCACAAGTTATGGGAGTGATAGAGGCCAGAGATTTTGTGGCTGCCTTCAAAATTTCCGTATGGGTCTCAAGAGCTGTTCTGTAGGGGGCTTGTGATGAACTTGTGATGGGGAGCTAGCACTGTCAGCTCCAGCCTCCAGCTGAGCACCCGCCTCTCTGGGCAGGGTGGTCCCAGGCAGTCTGCTGCTTTGATGCCAGTGTCCCTCCGCTCTCAAGGCTCAGCAGCACCAAGGTTTGCAATGTCGGGGTGTGGGGAGCTGTCTAGCGCCACGACCTGCCCCAGTTGCTGCCAAACCTCACATCTCAGCAAACACCCTTCTCAAAGGTGCTCTGACAAACCCTGCTCCCCTGCAGAGCTGGGGGAGCTGAGCCTGGGGCTTCTGCCATGGCAGCTCACAGGCAGAACTGTGCCATCCAGCATCTCCTGGGCTGAGCATAGGGACAGATGTTCGTCTCACTGGGAAGCAATGGCCATGTTTACTGAGCTTCTGATCCAGCTAAGGGTACACAGCTTTTCTCAGAAAAAACATGCAGATGCCATGAGACAGGTAAGGCAGCAGTGATGCAGGGTGAGCTGTTCTGCAGTGTGAGATGGCCATGGATGAGTACACAGTATTTTGGTGCAGGCAATGCCCCCAGAGCAGTGTGGGGACTGACCTCTCCCTCCAGCATCCACAGAAGGTGAGGGGAGAACAGTGATTTTACCTTGCTTTGCTAGCAAGGCTAGCTCTGAAGTCTCCATTTCGAGAAGGATGTGGAAATACCAAAGAGAGTTCAAAGGAGGGCCAGAAAAACGACCCAGGGCTGGAAAAGAAGTCATCAGTACGGGCCTCAAGGCGCTCAACTCTTCAGCTTACTGCAGGGAAGCGTTGAAGACAGCTGCAGATTTTCGCGTCATCGCAAGCCTGCTTGCAGCAGGGGCCAAAATTGTGTTACTTGCAATAAATTACCAGGAGCTGGTGACACCGAGCATTTGGATGATGAATTACACACACACCTAGCATGATGGAAAAAAACCTTCTGGGTGTGGGCACTTTCTCTAGCTGGGCTGGTGATCCGGGGCTGCTCCTACCACTGGCATGAATGAACCCCAGTTAAAATCACACTGGTGCTGCTGGGCACCCACAGCTACTGGCTCTTGTTCAAACAGTACCCAGCTTGGGAAGCAGTTGCTCTTGAAACCCAGCTTGACTGCAACCAGGGTGGTTTTTCCACTGATCAGTGACCTCTTGCTGGGCCCCTGACAGCAGCTGGCACCCCCTCCCACAAGGCAAACCCTGTGTGAGCGTGGCCCCCAGGCTGGCATCACCCAGTTGCCCTTGCAAAGAGAAGTGCTCACCTTGAAGTGCAGTGCCGGGCATACCAGTGGAGGCAGCTCGGCAATGCCCAGGGAGATGCGTGGCTCCAAGCAGTGCAATCGCAGAAAGGATTTGGCTTTTGGAGTCACGGAGGGCTCCCGTTGTGAGGGCTGAGCCAGCAATACAGCTGTAGCGGTAGAGGAGGAATAGCAGACAGGAATCTGGTCTGCTAATAGTCCCCAGGGAATCGAGGGAGCTTTCTTGCTTTAATTGCTTTGCAGACCCATTAAGCAGTGCTGCCACTGCAGCCCTCAGAGCTGCAGGTGAGGAGCACCAGAGCCGTCCTGCATCTCAGGAGGTCTCTGACGGGGACACCTGATTTATGGGCAGGAGGGGCACTTGTCTCAAGTGAGCTGATGTGCAGAGCTCAGGCCAGTCACATCTTCTGAGCCCCATGGGGCCAGTGAAGACCCATGAGCTTTCCACTACAGGGGGAAAGCCCAGAGGGTCCCACTTGATCTCTTTGCACATTTTAATTTATTGCAGGAGCTTTTAGAGACTTCAGCTTTTGAAAACAAGGCTGATTAGGCAGACTTTCAGACAGCCCTATTAACCAGACCCTCCCACCTCCAGAGCCATCAGGAAGGGCGCAGGAGCATATCCCCATGCTCTCTCTTAGAGGCAGCAAAGCAGCTTTACAGCCCACCTGAGTTTGTTCAGCTCTGCGCTCACCACATGTGAGAAGACATTGCCATAACCAGAAACTGGAGTAATGGAGCCATAACCTTTACGTCTCCTGGGTGTTGTAACCGACAAAAGCAGCCGAACTTCAAATGAACTGGCGGCTGACCCTGCAGTGCACAGCCTCCTCTGGCTGGGGCTGCTGCCTGCCCTCCTCCTCTTCCTCTTGCTTCTTCCCTCTTCTGAAGCTGCCCAAGCTCTTCCTCCATCCCTGAGGCACGCTCGAGTTTCAACAGCCTGTTACAGAATGCTCCATTCCTGCACCTTCACCTGCCTTCTTCCACAGTCCAAGCAACCTGTATGGAGATAAGGGATGGCTGGTCTGCCTTGCCATACATCATGGGACAGAGTTTTGCTCTTTTATCCCTCTGTTGAGCCTGATGGCTCATTTTGGTAGAAGCATCTCCCAGAAAAGTAGTGATTGTGGTTGTGAGGGCTTGGAGGGATGGAGAAGCTGCCACTTCCCAGGGAGTCTGTTCCAGCAAACATCCCCACTGTTAACAATCCCACTCCTTATTTTCAGCTTGAATTTGTTTGGCTTCAGCTTCCAACCAGTGGTTCTTGTTCTTTCTTTTTCCACTAGATTAAAGAGATCTTCAGCATCCAAATCTTTCTCCCTGCGGAGGTCCTGACATCCTGTTCAAGCCACGGCTGGTCGTTCCTTGAGCAAGGC